ACATACGATGCTGAAACGGATTTTTTTAAATAACCTACTTGTTTACGAGAGGTCAAGGTGACTTTCAACTTTTTAAATGGAATGTGTACCTTTTTATGTCAAAATTTAAAAGAGCAGTCAATTTTCTATAAGAAAGTATTAAGCTTCATTCGTCACGTTGAAGAGACGTGCGCGAGCTCTAGAATTGCGCGGCTGAGCAGTCGCCGAGGAATTAAAGGGAAGATTATGCTTTCCTTGTGAGAAAAAAAATAACTTAGCTTGCCTTGGGATGCAACAGATGTTGCTTTTTCGTTCCAATTGTATTCCAGTGGTCTGCATATTTTCATTAACAGAAATTACAATATTTCTTGCATTTACTGCTTATGTAACAATTTTAAGTTTTTTGAACTCCTTTTCCCGATATTATCAGCTTCGCGAGACTTTCTAATTAAAGTGGTGTCGCTCAAATACTCGCCAGTACCGCGCTAGTGCCTCAGTGTACCCAGGAGTACCTCAGTTTATGTAACTTATACCTCCAAATCAAAGGAGAAGGGTGTAGAAGACCCTCTTGACTCCTGCTAGCCGCAAGGATGTTTACTCTTGGTCCCTCTTCTTAGCGTTCTATGTTAGTTCTGCTACCACGAGGGCGACGTCGTGTTAATTAAAGTACAGTATGGTCAGGGCAGCTATGGTCAGGAAATCGGTCCGTGTAGAACTATACAATCTCTCTGCACTAGTGTCGAATTTCACCATAAATGACAATCATTCCAATTTTCTCGTCCTTTAAGCGATTCATTGTGAAACATGTACCAATACTCTGATAATACTTTTTGTAATTAGAAGGACATACACTGTCGCTCATAAGTAGTAAGACACTCATTATGTTCGTACAGAAATTATTATATGATTTAACTCTTGGCTACAGACATCTGTCTTTAAGACATTACCACAGAAATGTAGCCTTTCAGACAACTTTGGCCATTTTATTTATTAAATCACTGCGTTTTAAAAAATATTTTAATGTAACTATTTTATTTAACGAAATATACACTGTTCCTTAAGATTTTCTACAATGTTCTACAAAAGCAGTATGCTTATAATGTTATACGCAAAATTATGACTTTTTAAAATGGAAGTAGTGTACCACCTGCTATCAATTGAAGCTACTCAAAAACCGCATATGTAATAGTTATAAGTTGTAAGAGCTCCTAGAATTCTCCGCTGTAGTTGTAACAGTGAAATAAAAATTTCGACTCGTCTCTGAGACGAGTGGTTCGTAGTTAAAAGGTTAAATATTTTTTCGTCAGATTTAGTACCACACGTCAGCAGAAATTTATGTTTTCGTTACATAACGAGCTACCAGACTGAATAATTTTGTAATGACGCTTTAGGTTTGCTCCACATTTAGCAAGTGTCCTAATACTTATCAATGGGAGTGTATTTGTTCTATGCTGATAAACATGACGCCCTAGGAAACCGAAACAATGCAACGTGCTGCAGCGTGACTGCCACGTTACGAGCGACGATAAACGAGGGGTGGGGTTCAGCGCGCAATATGAACGATCCCAACGCATAAATACTACACTACTATAAATAGCGATTACATATTTATCGTAATTTCAACGGGTGTATGAGAAGTATTGCAGAGAAAGTAGCTAACATTGATAAACCTTTGAGGTGTTTTCTTTCTGCAGAATAACACTATGTCCCAACAGTAAAAGTCTTGTTCAGAGCATAGAAGCACATCCTCCTTATCTTCCTTTTTTACCTTTCACCTACAGCATTATCACGTGCAAACTTTTTACCTATGCAAATTATTTAACAAAAAATATATTTAAAGAAAAAGAAGACGTTAGAGCTTATAATTTTTTCTGTCAACGAGACAAAGTTTTATAACAATGAATAAAATGATTCAAAACATAATAATATTTGTCGCCATTTCCCAAATTCCAAAACGGCACAAACTTTTGGGGTATCTGACACTTAAATTTTATTTTTCCTAAAAATAATTTATATAAAAATACAATTTCCGTTCAAAGAAAAAAAATATTAAATCTTATTTTACTGGCACACTAAATTAATTTTGCTATTAAAGTTCCATTTAATTTTTACGAATTTCTTAAATCGTTTCTAACTTCATTAGTCGTTGTATCTTATAATACAAGTTGAAGACTGTTTCTACTTTCAATTATTTATTATTAGTTGTCAAACGTTGTTTATTACACTTATGGCTGTCAAGCCAAATTAGTTACCAAATGTTACAAATGTCAATATGAATGGTGAAAACTTTTCTTTAATTAAACATTGGTAAGTAGAAAGGTGAGATAAGAAGTTCGATCTTTGTTTGCAGCGGGCAGTCTAATAGCCGTCAACCAGCGATTCAGGCTTACTTGACTTCTTAGGAACTCATGAATCTCTAGCATAATTTATAACATTTTACAACAATAAATTACACGATATAGCAGGTCGTTGAATACTATGTATGTATTATTAAAAAAAAATATGGTTCCATTTAAAAAAATAAACCACCCTTTATACTAAACAACTTTTGTTCAAACATTTTTTTGGTAAGTAGATTTGAGATGTTCCAAATTTGCGAGATAAAAGAAACACTCTGTATAGTAATAGGCACCTTAGCGAGAACTAGTGAGAAAGGTTAATGTTAGTTCGTCCCTCTGGTGGTGACTATGGTACACTACGTGGAATAAATATAGTGCGCGCGTAAAATCGGTTAGGAGTCAAAGTAAACGTGTTTCGAGTGTTCTAACAAAGGAATTAGCAGAAATATGAGAAGATGAGGACGCGAACCCTCAGTTAGGGCCGTATAATATATTTACCGTGTCTGCACAGGCTCTGTCGTCCTGCAAATTCTTGTAACGGTCTTCGTTCTCACCTGTATTCTGCTTCAGTTTTTATTATTTTATTCACTGCTTTCTTCCGTTGATTACCCTTTATGCTGTTTACTTCATCCCGTGTCAGTTCCACTTTCCTGAAATTCGATTAGCCAATTGATTTGCGTTGGTCACATAGGTTTACGATACGTCAGGCACAGAAAGGAATTTCAAATATTAAAAATGTTAATTGGTATTTTTAATTTGTCCGATAGTAGTTAGTCATCAATTGTCATCCTTTTATTGTACGGACCGTAAAACAGAATGCCATATGCGGTTCTGGTTGCCGCTACATCAAGCTGTGTACGCTTTAATTTACGAGCGCGCTATGTTTGTTCCGCCGACCTTACCGCCGCACAGTTAATTACTAATGGGAGTACTAATTACTGAGATGTAAACTATACCTGATATAATTAAAGTTAATAATTTTATATATTCAAATATTCACCACATCTTCTTGTATTGCTAGATGTTTGCCCGATATTAAATTATTGTACTTCTGTCGCGTTGCAAAATTCAATAGAATTATCCCATTAAAAAAGAAATAATAAACTGAAAAAGTTATAAAAAGTTGAGTCAGCAGTACCAGGTGGGAAATCTGGACATGAACAGATAATGTCATAAATTGCCGCATCGGATGGTAGAACAGCTGTTACGGTGGCTTTTCCAACCTTATATGAAACCAATGTGCCCAGAAGTTTGTAATCAGTTATCTTGTATCCACCTATGTATGTGGTATCTATATCTGAAAAAAAGTTTTCAACGATCTTCTACACATCAACACAATAGAGCAAAATTAGTATCTAAATATGTAAATAGGAAATTATAGTACAGAATTCGACATTTTGGAAAAGTCGAGTGCGTACTTTTAATTTTATACGTAAAACTTCAAAAGTTTCGTTAAGCAGTATACTCTTTATAAGATATATTTTTACAATACTTAGTGTTAATGCTCATGGTTGTGGCGATGAACTTTCGAGCTTTGTGGATGTTTGCACGATGTTGTGCCGTCTAGATACTGGTTCGAAGGACCACTCAAATGATTGGGACATGGAAAAACTGATCTGTGGTATCACGTGATGTGAGCTGGTTGCTCCTTGGTTCTCCTTGTTCGTGGTGGTTGAACGACTACTCGACGACTCAACTCTCCGACGTCGCGTCTCGGACGTCCGTGGTTAATGGTTAACGATTGCATTTGCCAATCAGCGTGTCTAATATCGTCTTTACCGCCCTTCCAGTGCGCCCTTAGCGCGCTGTCACCTTGGAAGGGTGGGAGGCGGTCGCGAGGGGTGGGCGGAAGGTCCCAAAAATCTGGAATTTCCTCCGGGTGACTAATCGGCAAGCGGACCGTTACATACAGATGTGCCGTTCGGAAATTCGTGGTTTATGGTATGTTCGTAGGCTATTGAGCGCTAGGGACACAAATTACTAAAAATCTAGCAAAGCAATTCTAGTGACCCTCGCAGGATGTACTTAGACCCGTGCAAGCAATAAACGAAAATCCTGAACTCAAAAATAACCGTTCCCGGTCGATCGTGCCATAAACCGTTTCTACAGAAAACCTAACACTTAGTAAATATGTGAAATTAGTAAAAATAGTGGAATACTTTTTAAGACCAAAATATTTTGGACTACAATTATTTTTATTGAGGATCATTGTCATAACAGAATTCGAATTTGAACATATTGAAAGAAGTGTTGTATTGAATTTTGTATTAGTAATGTAATCTTACAACGAAATGAAATTTATGATCTGTCAATTGTCTTAATAAATTGGGTTTTCAGTTAAGCACGTGTTCTTCTTTAACCTTCTTGAACTATTCAAGAATGGTTTCTTCTCCTAGCACAATAATTGACATGTTAAATATGATATTCATTGTAAATAATGTTAAAACGTTTTTAAATTCTGTAAATAATTTAAACAAACTCAAAGGGGTTTTAATGAAGAAATTAAAGCAAAACAAAAAAGATTTACTAAAAAGAAATGAGCAAGCTAGCTGTCGTATAAAGCTGCGTTTATATAAATTTACTTGTAGAACAGGTTTACAAATAACGTACAGAATTTCTTAATTTTATGAACATGTAACGGTACATAAGTTGTCGATACTTATATCTTGTTTGTCATTTCAGAACAGGGACAAAATCCAAGCAAGAAGAAAACAACGTTTTCAAGGCTACTCCGAGGATTAAAGACACACAGAAAAGAGAAACAAGCACAAACTCAAGGTTCTCCGAGGCATGGTCGCGCAAGAATGGGAGTACCACAAAGGGTAAGTGTGTGTCTGTGTACAGAACCATAATCCTACTTCAGCAAAGCAGTTATTCACTTTTAATACAAATTTCCCAGATATTTTTCACCCAACCACAGTTCCATATTTGATGCGTAATTTAGACTGCTTTTTCTCACTCTATCTGATTAATTTAAACCAAAAAAAAAAGACGAATGAAATAGTTTTCTGAAAACTTATTTTGCCGAAAATTCATAAAAATTAGCAAAATTGGTTTGAAATTGAGCTAATAGCAATGAAAGTAGACGTATTAGAAATAAACAGAAATAATTGGAACGAATATTTAAAATTAGAATAGGATAGTATTAGTAACATTTTTGTAAAAGTAACTGAATATATAAAAATTTATGAAAACAATGAGGTTTACCTAATATTGTTTAAATGTTAAAATGATATTGTGTCATTATATTCCAAGTAATTCTGGTTCGGCCGATGGTTGATCTTTCGATCGTTCGGGCTTGGTCGGTGTTTGCACAAGGTGTGCCAATTACTTAGTTTTAGAAATGTTTGAATGCGTGTTAACTGGATGGTCCAATTTATTGTCAACTTGAACTAATATACAATGAGAGAGTACGTTTGTTTTGATAGATCACGTAGCTGATCGATTGTTAAATTTGCTGTGTTGTTCTAACGTTACTATATCTCGATGTGTTCGAAAATAACTGAACCTACTCCTACGTTCATTCTAGCCTTTTTGTGTTAATTGCTGACTAGCTCTTCCTTATGATGCACGTTGATTGGCCGTTCTAAGAAGTAACAAATCGCCAATCAACGTGCCTAAATGATCACGACGACCTTCCTCTTGCACCGTTAGCGCGTTGCCTTGGAAAGAGGTTGGCGATGGGTTTGTAAATTTTCTCCATGTTCTGATCCCTCCGGTCCTTTGACCGTTACAACTAATTTCTGAGCCACCCTTCGAAAGGCCCATTTTATGATAGGTTTTTTAGTTATTGAGGACGAGAAAAACTGTCTTCCAAAGCTCCGAATTGTAAACCTAACTGTCTTTCGCCAGGACATACTTCAATCCTCGAAAACATGCTAATAATGAACTAAAGCCCTAATCTTAAGAATAAGTGGCATAAACCGCTACGCTAACAAATTCAATTCACTGTGTAAAATATCAAAATATTATATAATATTCTCATAAAAAGCAAAATACACCAGTCAGTATATTAAATTTTGAAACAATCTTGTTTCCAAGTATTTGAAATCATCATTGATGTATCACTAAAGTAATTAACTTATGTATGTGTTGAAATTTTATTATGTTCCGTTATTAATTTATTATTGAATACAACATCGTCCTCATGAAAATAGTTTTCTCACGTGCGTATGTGTAACTCTGCTGGAACAATCTGTCGGCTTCGTTTAATTTTATTTCGTGAGCAATTTATACTTATGTAATGGATTGAAAGTTTTGCACTAAATTAAATGACATCGATAGAGATTTTTCTGTGAATTTTAGGGAGAAAGTACTAGTATGTAATGTGAAATATAATTGTTTGAGAAATACAATTTGACATCATTAAATAATGTATTAAGCATAGCAAAAATTGGTAATTATGTTTTAAAATATTCTAGATATGTATGAAAACTTGTATCGATCACTTCAAATGTGTTAATGCTGTTTAATATTTTTAGTTGATGCTTTTGTTAGTACTGCTATAGTTACGGCTGTTATTTTGTATTATTATTGTGCATTAATATTCTTTAATGTGGAAAACATTTAAAACAATAAATGATGAAATAAATATAAATTTATTTAATTTGACCTATGTTTATTTTATGTTTACTTGTATATTTATTATTAACCCGATTTACTTAAACCTTATTAGGAAACATTGTTTTAAACATATAGATTTATAAATACTCTTACATATATAATTACATTTTTATTTGGTATAACACGTTCCTTTGCAATAACTAAGTATTTCACTTTTATTTAATGAATGTTAATTATATTCCCGTCCATAAATCACCATATACTTATTTTTAATGCGTTTAGATTAAGAACAAATTTGCGTTAAACTTACAAAATGGAACCAACATTTGATAATTATTTGCATTATAAAGGACAGTAAATTGTCCTTCCCTCCTGTAATTTTACTAACAATTACTTTCAAGAAACGTTGTGTTCAAAATTAATCCAATGTCTCCGATGACTTATAGATCGAGTTATAGATCTACAAAACGTATGTTTCAAATTTTCATTACGAGCTCAGATAAAAAAGTTGTAAACGGTGACCTTTACAATTTTCTTTGCGATTCCCACAAATTGCAATTTTTTCCAAAATTTTTGCACACGTCATCTAGTGTACTAATCCTTCTAACTTCTAAAAAAAAACTCAAGTCGTTAGGTCCAATTTTAAACAAGTTATACTGTTCTAAAGAGTGTTCGAATATTAATGGGAGTCGCTGAATGTGTATGAAACATTTGTTTCATTAAATTACAAATAAGTACATATTTGATATAGAAGTTTTATAAACGAGAAAACTACGAGAAATTTTTCAGACATAGGTACTACACGATTAAACAATTCTGTAATCATTGCAAGCATTTTTTTATTTGAAATACTGCATTTTAGTCACAGAACGTTGAACACTTTATGGTGACATCCAGCAATTTTCGTTGCTTTGCCTTTCATTAACTAAATGTCGAAAAGTTACTCTGCCAACAATTTGCCTCCTGTGATGAAAGTTGCAATTTTTCAATTCTC